TAAATAAATAAAATTAGAAAGAATGTCAAAAGATATTATAATATAAACTCTTTCTTACAATTGTGTCAGCAAATTCTCTCTCTTTCTCTCTCTCTTTTGTGGCCAGCTCAACCCACTCTGGGGACAGGGCTGGTGCGGTATGTGGTACCAGGGATAGAACCAGGGTCCCTGCACTTTGCCTAAGCTTGCCTAAGCCGGTGCTTTAGACCACTGAGCTATCACTGCTGAGCTATCGCACAGGCCCTATCAGCAAATTCTATTTCTCCCTTGTTTTTGAAGGATATTTTCACTGAATATACAACTCCCAACTGAAATTCTTTTCCTGGTCGTTTGTTTGGGTTTTTTTTTTTTTTTGCAGAACCGGGAGCAAATTCTATAGCAGACAAGTATACAACTACTTTCGGTGAGTTCATTTAGGTTCTAACAAGAAATTTTAAAAATATTAAGCCATTAAAGATCTGTGCAACTTTATAAAAATAAGATGAAGCTAAAAAAGAGGTATTTTTGATGTCACTGCTATAAACAATCCTCTAAAACAAATTTCAAAATAGTTGAATATCACATTTAAATTGATGTAAGCCTGTTTTACCTCAATATGAAACATGCTACATCATCAATAGGAAAGACATATATGTATATGTATAGATACAAATACTTTTAGGGGGAGGTAAGTACGGTTACTTCATTTTTTTCTTTTTTCTCTTTTTTTGAGACAGGGTCTTGCTATGCAATTCAAACTGGCCTTGGGCCCACTTTGCAGCCTAGTCTGGTCTCGAACTCACAATGATCCTCTTGCCACAGCCTTTCCAGTGCTAGGATTACAGGCATGCACCATCATACCTGGCTAAGATGGTATTTTTTAGAGGTGTTTAATTTCAGGACTTCATTCTCCTTTCTGTTTTTCTATCCTTTAACTACTAATTGTCCATTAACTTGTGCCTTGAAAATACACAATCTATACACTTTGCTTTTAGAAATATCAGAAAGTCAAAACCACTCAGAAGCAAAACTGTAACTTAAATAATTATGTTGCCTTTATAAAATGCCATCTCTAGACAGGAAAATGTGACCTAACAATTGAGAAACCTCCTTAAAATACTTTAATGAAAGGCTAAGCTTGCAATCCTTAGGAATTGCTCTACAGAAACTGACCACCTTTTATACTACGAAGTATACATACACTGAAGACAAAGACTGTGATTTTTTGCACCTCAAATTTGTAACATTAAAACATAAACAATTACAGAATAACATCAATAATCGTATCTGCGTACAAGTAATCATTTTCAAAATCTAATATATGTAAAATGAGAAAGGAAAAACTAAGATGTGGGTCTTAAACATTAAAATATATTTAGTATCTTAAAATGATTTTTAAAAAACATTAAAGGAGTAACAAGTATACTGAAGAAAAATGAGGCAAAACACAATGACAAAAGAAGGGCTTCATGGAAGCAACAGCAACACTTTCGGATTAAGTCCTTTAATACTTTATTCTATCTCAGGTCTAGTCTGGTGAAAATCTATTTAATAAGCATGGCCTTTAAAGCAGGGTTCTGAGATTCTGCATAAATTTTAAAGAAGTGATGAGATTTAATATACATATTAAATAGAAAATTAATCCTTTCTAAAGAATAAATCAAAAGAAATTATAAAATCTGAAGCGCTTTTATCTGGAATTCTCAATCTCAAGGCAACTAGGATACTGATCTTTTCCTTAGCTTTAGAACACCACTTTATTTTTTGGCATTCTCTAAACAGATGATAATACATGGAAAGAACAGAACTGGAAGTTTCAAGACAAGGATGTAGCTCTTACACATCAGAAAGTATATGACGGGACCCAGATAGCACAGCTTTCAAAGTCCCAGTTCAATTATCAAGAGTTGATACTTATCAATAGTTGATAATTTTGAGATAAAGACTTTCCAAAATACTCAGAAAACTATAAATTGCTATATAAATACTTGTTGAATACAAAGTAAAGAGACAGACAGTAAATACCCACATTATGCCTATTACCAGTATCAGTAATTGTCACTGCTGCTATAATCTCCTTTCAGGAAGTCTGATTTTACGAAAAGAAAAATACTAGATAGAGATTTTTTTTACATTGTGGCTCACACTTCATCCAAATGTGTATTTCTTTTTTCTTTTTCTTTTTTTTTTAGTACAAGGTCTACAGGATCTCACTACATAGATTAGACTCCTAGTGATCTGCCTGTGTTCAGCCTCCCAAGAGCTGGGATTATAGGTGTGCGCCACCACGCCTGGTCTCAATCAGCATCTTAATGCACCCTGGGGGTGGGGCTGCCACGGCAGGCTGGGGATGGAACCCCAGCTGGCAGCTGCGCTCTGTCTAAGCAGGCGCTTTAGTCCGCTGAGCTATCTGGCCGGCCATATACAATATGTATTTCACTCTTCCTCTAATCTGTAAATTTTCCAAGAGACTGGGAATTCTATTGAATAAAAGACAGTATGAATGCTAAGGTATAAATGGTAACTCTAGTCAATAACTATTGATAAGTTACTCCATATAACCACATTACAGCTTCCCATGGCAGTGCACATACTATCAGTAGGCAGGAGGCTGAGGCTGAGGCAGGAGGACTGGCATTTTAAGGCTAGCCTACACTACATAGCAAGATACTCTCTCAAACAACAAACTACTCTAGAGACATCTGCTGTGTTCTTATTTAAAGCCAAATAAAAAAATTTTCCTGAACCTTTTTCAACTGTGATTCCATTTTCAAACATTCTTCCTTCTTCTGCTCCAGAGCAATCTCTAGTGTCTTAAGCCGGGAGTCCTTTTTCAGTCCTGAGGAAGCCAGGGAAGAAGCATGCTCCTTCAGATCCAACAGGGAAGCCTAAAAGAACACGACACATTTAGAATAAATATTAAATAGATTTGTATTTTCAAATTTATTATCATGCAGACTTGTAGTTTCTTTGCATTTCAAGAATATTCATAAACTATAAAGTAGTACTAGCTTTGAAGTACAAATTAAAATAACATTGATTCTAGCACCACAGTTCTAACCATACATGTGTATTTTCAGAGAAGCAGATTAAGCTTTATAAGTAGTCAGACACAAACCTACACTAAATTAAACAGAAAACATTTTTTCCCTTATTAGAAGAAAAATTCTATTAGGAACTTATTTCAATAAAATTTCCTAGAGTTCAGAAAGAAAATCCAGAGAAAGGCACTAAGGTTCCTATCATTAATGGGCCATGTGTGTGCAAACACACACATGTGTGTTTGTGACAATACTGGGAACTGAATCAGGGCCTTTACTTTGAACTATATCCACTCTCACAAAGATGTTAAATTGCCTCAGCTGGGCTTGTACTGCAATCCTCTTGCCTCAGTCTCTCAGGACACTGGGATTACAGATGTGCACCACCACATCTTGCTGGCATTAGACTTTTCTACTCTTTAGACCTCATTAACAGGAATCTTCAAAAGCAATGTAAAAGTAGTCATCAAATTAATAGTTGCAGGGCTGAGGGCTGGCCAGATAGCTCAGCGGATTAAAGGGGCTGGGGATTCGATCCCCAGCTTGCCGTGCTGGTCCAGCCCCCGGGGTACAATGAGACAGCCATTGAGACAGGGTATGGGTGTGTGCCTGTAATCCCAGAGCCTGGGAGGCTAAAAACAGGAGAATCACAAGTATGATCTACATAGTGAGACCCTGTACTAAAAAAAAAAAGTTGCAGGGCTAGAGACATAGCTCAGCAGTCTAAGCTCCTGCCTAGCAAGTGCAAGGACCCAGGTTCGATCCCTGGCAGGTACATGCCTGCCCCTCTACTAATCCACCCACTGAAACTGGGTTTGGTGGCACACATCTGTAATCCCACAGCTGGGGAGGCTGAGACAAGAGGATCCCTACCAAATAAGTAGTGTACCAAATAAGTAAGTAAACAAATAAATGTTGTAAAACCTAATTATTATAAAACTGTTTTCCTCCTTTGTGTACTTCTTTTATATGCCACTTTTCTAACCAACAGCACAGTATTTCGCCAAATGTTACTAGGCACCAGTATTTTTGGAGCTACAAAAGTGCCATTAACAAGTAAGAAACCAACACAAAACAGTGTCTGCTTAATATCAATAAACACCTACCTTCACGAGAAAACAGCAAAATTGAATTACTATTACCAGCAAACACTACATTTTACTCAAGAAGTCCCACAGTGTATTTAATATCTCAGACATGCCTGTTTTGATTTTACTGATTATGTGTGGTGATTGTAGGAGGCAGACTTAGCACTTCACTGTCCCTACCAGGGCACACACATTTCTGTTGTCACTTAAGCATTCTATGCTTGAGCATAATCAAGTTAAAAAAAAAAGTGAAACTCATACAATCATGTTAAAAGTTTATGACCTTCCTGGGCCCCATTACTAGCTCTCTAGGGCTGTATACAGTCTGCAAGCTATAGGCAGGACATGCTTATCTTAATGTATTCACCAAAATCTACTGCAAGGCATCAAGAAAATCATTCAATTTTTTAAAAATCATTATGCAAACAGCCACAATATATACATGTAATTAGCAAACCAACTAATTTCACTTTGGCACTATTAACCTCTTTTTCTGAGAGATCTCCTTGTAATACGCTGACTTTTTCTTTCAAGTCTTTAAGATCTTTTTTATAGTTATCAATTTCTTCTTGCTTCTCTCGCTCATCTCTGTCCCTCTGTTCCTTTAATCGTTCAATTGTCCGTTCCTGATAAGAAAACACAACAACATAGAAAGAAATTCCTTTCTGTACTTAAATGATTGATTCTGCTATCAGTTGATAAAATTTGAAACTTCTATTATCTATTAAAAAGAACGATGTGCATTCAAAAGAGTTGATTTTTATGCTGATGAGCTATCTCCTTGGCCCCTAAAAGAGTTCATTTTAAAAAAATCTGCCTTTCTTACTTATCTTGCTGTTTTAATAAAGAACAGGCTTTGATTTTTTTGAACCTTAAAGTTTCTTTTCTTATAGTCTCAAACATAATAAAACTACAATATTTTCTTGGAATAGTACCATTTAAATTCAATTTCCAAAAGCGAGATAGTTCAGTAGACTAAGCACCTGCTTAGGCAAGTGCAGGGACTGGGGTTCGATCCCTGGCACCACACGCTATGCAGCCCCGCTCCTAGGCATACTGAGCCAGCTCCAAGTCGAGGCATGGTAGCAAGGGTGCCTGTAATCCCAGCACTGGGGGAGATGAATACAGGAGCATCATTATACTAAGAGTCCGAGCTGCAATGTGAAACCTTGTACCAAATACAAATTCAATTTCCAAATGATCCTCTTAGGATAGTAAGCAACAAACATTGCTTTATAACTCACATAGTGCCTTTAAAGCAACAGAAACAACTCACAAATCAACAAAAAGGAAAAAAAAAGGAAGAAAATGTGATATGTTGTGCTGAAAGTATAAAGGAGAACAGTAAAGAAAAGTCATTAAAATTGCTTTCTGTCAACAAATACTCAGGGAAGTTTAAAAGTTGGAACAATTTAAGTATGTTTTGGGTACTATTTTTAAATATATTCTGGAGGCAAGCCATGATCTTGGTAGATAGCTGGAAGCATTCTGAGGCCAAGAGAGTTAAGGAAAACTGACCCCATTCATTTAATAAACAAAATCCAATGAAAATGTTTAATGTGGGCTAGCCAGATAGCTCAGCAAATTAAAACACCTGCTTAGGCAGACACAAGGACAAGGTTCGATCCCCCCACCTCCTATGTGTTGTACTGGCCCCGCCCATAGGGTGCGCTAAAATGGCTATTCAGACTGGGTGGGTGGCACACACCTGTAATCCCAGCACTTGGGAGGCTGAAAACAGGAGGATCTCTACAAGTCTGATCTGTGCAATGAGACCCTGTACTAAATAGAGTAAAAAAACAAAATAAATTAAATTTTTTTTAAAAAGTGTTTAAGAAGATTCTCTAGAAGAACAGGCCAAATAGCTCAGTGGATTAAAGTGCCTTAAAGCAGGCACAGGGGTTAGGGGTTAATCCCCAGGTCTGCCAAGCCAGCCCCACCCCACACCCATGGTGCACTGAGACGCAATTGAGACTGGATGTGGTGGCACGCTGCTGTAATCCCAGCTCTTGGGAAGCTAAAAACAGGCAGATTACTACGAGTCCGATCTAGTAGTGAGACCCTAAACACCCTGTAGACCCTTCCCTGAAGAATACACACACAAAAAAAAGATTCTCAACAATACCTTCTAAAGCATTAACACTGGTTAGTTTATGCCATTGTTTCAGTCAACTACTCTGATGAACCAGGTTTGTTTATAAAGGCAAAATATGTAGAAAATTAGTAAGCAAATTATATTAGTGATTAAAATCCCTGATTATACTAAACACTAAAGTGGAATATGATACTGTGTATGGTAAAGGAAAACTAACGATGTATTGCTTCTTGATAATCTGTCTCTATTTACTATTCCTACATCCCCTCATTCTAGTTGACCAAAACATATTTTCTTTTTCATCAGAAAATAGCAAATAAGGAATATAGAGCTGACTCTTTCAAATATTTTTTTTCTTTCAAATATTTAGACACTGCCTTCTGGTGTGGAATCCTTCTTACCTAACAACACGTGCTTGAATTGGCAACCCTTAAATGGACTTTCCTCTTTATATTACACTATGTATGTCACCAA